TGAGTTTGGATTTAGCTCTAAGGTTAATATTATGGATATCTTCTTTCTTATTGAAATTATGTATATTTTTACGAGCATATAAAATATTTGAGTAAACGTACTGTGATGCCATAGTCATGATACCAGTCTCCTTAAACTTTTCTCATGAGAATCCCGTAGGACATTATACTATGAAAGTAACTAAAGTAAACTAGTCTAGCAGTACTAACATCGGTAAGCTCACGTATTTTGCGGACTGCGTATGCAGCGGAGCTTAATCTGCTGGCCAGAGAAGATATATGTGGAAACCATTGAAGTTTACTATCTAAGGTCACTCCCAAGAAGACTGCTTTATTAACAAAGTCTAACTTTTCTCCGTTTATTTCTATGCTTGGACTAGTCGATTTTACGTTAGGTAATTCAAATTTAACACATTTTGTCTTCTTGGCATTAAGCAATAAAAAAATTTTAATTTAACTAAAATAAACTGCCTCTGTGGCCGAACGGTTACCATGCCGGACTGCCACGCAGAGGTCCTAGGTTCGATTCCCGGGCCGGGAGAAATATTTGTATGGCCTACATTTATCTCTCTCGTGAGTTTGGGTGTAATTTGTGTTTGTCTATGTATGTGTCCATGGTACCCGCGACACAGGGTTTCCCTAGTGCGGGGCTATGTTGAGTGTGTGCGTTATTATTATTATTAAAAAAAAGCAATAAATTGTTAGCATTAAACCAATAAACTACCTTAGAGAGGGTATCATTGATATGGTCATAGTGATATGGTCATATATGATTGATATGGTCATATATGATCATAATGTCATGTCTGTCTGTTTTAAAAATCAAGGGTGTGTCATCAGCAAACAACACTATTTCGCAATGGTAATTAACAAAGAATGGCAGATCATTAATATAAATAAAAAATAAGAAAGGCCCAAGTATTGAGCCCTGCGGAACACCCATTTTTACCAGAGAACCCAAAGAAGTCACACCATTTATGTCTACTTTCTGAATTCTACCGTTGAGATATGACGAGACAAGTTTCGACGCCTTGCCTATATGATCAACGCAATCAAATGCCTTTGAGAGGTCACAAAAAACACCAATAGTCTTCTGAGACCTTTCCCAAGCATCAAAGATGTGTTTTAGTAACGCTACCCCTGCATCGCTAGTCGATCTACCACTAGTAAACCCGTATTATTCACTATGAGAAATATGATTCCTACCGAAATAGGACAGTAATTGAGTCAGCATAACCTTTTGGAATATTTTACTTAAAGCTGGTAAAATTGAAATGGGCCTATAGTTGCTAGGATCAACTTTCCTACCGCTTTTGAATAAGGGAATAACTTTGCTGTATTTCATTAAATCGGGAAAAACACCTTCGTCAACGCACCTATTGAAAGCTACAGCTAAATGTGGGGAAATAAGATCAATAACTGAGTCTATAACTTTAGTTGATATGCCCCAGAGATCTTCAGTTTTTTTAACACGTATTGATTGAAAAGCTTTTATGATGTCTTGTGGATTAACATGACGGAAATTAAATAAACTGCCACAAAGTTAATATTTTCCTTTAGGAGATCAATAGCAAGTGAAGGGGAAGAATTTAATGATTCTGTAGTGTTCACAGCAATTTCCGAAAAGAACGATTCAAAAGCATAGGCTACTTTATCTTTAGATTTTATAAGTTTTCTGTCTAATTCTAAAACTATATCTCTATCGTGTTGTTTAACCCTGCCTGACTCTTTATTTATTATGCTCCAAGTAGTTTTAGATTTATTTATCGATTGTCTAATTTTGTCGCTGTGAAACTTAACCTTAGCAGCTACACATACATTTTAAAATATTTTTGAATAAATTCTAACATATTCTATGAAATTGGAATTAGTATTATAAGTTTTCATAACACATAGCTCATACAAACGAGACCTACTTTTATGAATACCTACTGTTGCCCAAACAATTGTTAAAATAAATAGTTTCATTTCCTCTGTGTAACAATCGCGAAAACCTAAAAACTCGATATTTAGCAACTTTTATACAATGTATATATATGCCAGTTCCATCGTACCCTAAACTAAAGCTTACATGCCTGGGCGGCGCTGTTGGAGAGCCGATTCGACAAATAGTAATAGAATTTTTGCCTGTATCGTGTGGGGATTGCTTAATATACAATTTATAGCACCTCTGTTGTTCGTACTGGACACATTCCGATAACAAATGATATGCATCTTCCACTACTCCACATAACTCGCAATTAGGAGAAATTTGAAATAACAAAGTAATGACGTTGAATCATTCTCTTGTAAAATTTGGTTTAGTGCAGATACGCGCCTTTACCAATGCTACATACGCGGATTTGCACTATCTCTGACGATAAGTGATTATGATATAAGCTTTTTAAAATTATTTCCATAACCTCCCTTTGTTCGTATTTAAAGTTTCTTTTTAATAACCATTTATAACTTTCACTTTAAGTTTGGTTCTTAGAAATATTTAATTAACAAGATTTAAGTCCGGTGCAGAAGAGTTATTAATAGTTGAACAATTGTTTGTATCTCAACGGTTTAATTTGTGCTGTGAATTACTGTTAATTCTGATTTAAACGTCAAGTGTTGCCTCAGGCGTTTTATAAGTGAAATTTGTAGAGCCTTGTAGTATTCACATCTATGTATATAAAATCACTGTAACGATATTTTTTTTTATAATATCAAGTGACGGGATGAACAAATCGTGTGCCTGATGGTAAGCTATACGCCTGTCCATAACAGTTGCAGTGCCACTCAAAGCTTTAAACCTTAGAGATCGGAGGGGGCACTGCCACTGCGCCCGTCAACCTGAGACATAAGTTGATAAGTCCCATTTGCCTGTAATTTCACCAGCATTCTTACCCTTCAAAACCGGAACACATCAAAGCTGACATTACTGCTTGGCGGCAGAAATAGGTAAGGTAACTCTTTCACAAGGTGTTCTACTGCTACTAAAATAATAAAGTGCTACGCAGAGGTCCCATAGGTTCGATTCCTGGGCCGGGAGAAATATTTGTATGGCCTACATTTATTTCTCTCGTAAGTTTGGGTATAATTTGTGGTTGTCTTATGCGTGTGGCCATGACACCACACTCGGAGCCAGCGGAAACCGGCGGTCGGGAAGGCAGAATATACGCTATTTCAATTGACAAGGTGTACATTTCAGTGCTTTAATATCGACCTCGACGCATCGCAACGTATTACCCTCTGAGGTATTGAAGATACAACGGAAAGGCGCCAGTATGTGACGAAATCCACTGGTTATGTGCCGGAGTTCGAATGAATACGCCAGCGTAAAACGCATGCCACACCGCGAATGAAAGTAAACTAAGTTAGCTTAGCTCACATACAGCCAAGCAAGTATGCGACATAGCTGTAATTTATCGAGTTCTTAGGTTTTCGCGATTGTTATACATACGAAATGAAACTATTTTTCTGGAAACAAACCGTTTGAAAAAACGAATTACGCGATTTAAATCCGGAAAAATAGTTTCCTAGCTGTAAATTGTTAACGGATTAAACTATGTTTCTTTTCACTTTGTGTAGGAAATTTGAAAACAAACTAATTTCAAACTCGATAATTGCTTGTTTGTTCCGAGATACACAGTTAAATGTTTAAAGAAATATTTATTCATAACAGCAATGTAAACGACTGCTTTTCGTCAAAGTTGTTAAAGGTTAAAATACGGTTCTATAAAATTTATTTCATAACATCAATATTAAAAATTTAAATTTATAATCTCAGTGCAGAGTACTAAAAAAACCGACCTCAAAAGTACGTGGAGTTACATCTATTTGCTAAGTAATAGCAAAAAATATTGAGAGAAAAACGCCTTGAATTGGAACAAATAGCAAAATCAACCATTAAAATAATTGCTCCTTAAGAAAATGTAGGCGCTATTTATGAAAATGAATCTACATGCGTCAACAGCCAACCTTAGAGGTGGATGATTTCCTTCAAAATGAAATGGGACCACTATGGAAGTACCCACTATCCAACAAAAAAAAGGATCATGAAAATCGGTTCACAAATACCGGAGTTATGGCGTAATATACATACAAAAAAAAACACAGTTGAATTGAGAACCTCCTCCTTTTTTGAAGTCGGTTAAAAATCCAACGTTAAAGTACAGTGTATGTTATCGTCAGTAATTAAACATTAAACCAATTATAATTATTCATACAAAGATCGAAAACAAAGAAAAATCTGACAGGACATTAATATGCTTCTGTATGCCAAACTAGCCGTGGTAGCATAGTGATCTGACCTACCACCTCTCAAGCATAGGCCGTGGGCTCGAAACCGGGCTTGCACCAATGAGTTGGTCGGAATTTATGTGCAAAATTTAATTTGAAATTTACCATGAACTTTTTGGTGAAAGAAAGCATGCTGATGAAGCCTGCACGTCGAAGAAAGTTTTTAAATATAGGTTTTATTATAGGTCACGTTGGTTTCTTTGAAAAAACAAAATACGCGATTTAAATTCGTCAAAATAGTTTCATTTCCTATTGTAAGAACTTAACAAAATTAAGAGTATAGACTCTTAATTTTGAGTATTACTACCTCAGCTCGAATTCAATTTTTCCCGTACTTATACGGTTCATTTTGCTTGGGTCGAGCGGCTGGGACACTGGCTTTATTTCGGAATTTATTTTTTTACAAACGAAATTAAAGCCTTCGGAAAAATGTGTATAGGTACGTGTTCTATTTAGTTCAGTTGAAATAAAAAATCATTGGTATATGTAAAGTATCTATTAAATACAGCGGTTTTCTTGTAAACATTCAAGGTGTTTTTTTTCTATCGTGAAAATTTTTAGGAATCGTATTTTCACATCGTATACTGATCAGTGTATATTCTTAATTTTACTGTATATTTTTTCACAAAGTGATTGATTTAACACTTCCACTGTTAGGTGGAATCAACCAAAGCCATTTGAGGTTGAATAGACTTTTAAGTCATTTCACCAAAATATAGTTTAGATACTTACGACTCGCGCTGACTAGAGCCGAAGACAACAAAAATACGGAAACGGCGATTCTCGCTGCAGACTGCATGGTGCCTGCCAACAAAACATATTCATTTAAACAAATACGTATTATAACCCTTATTATTTACCTTAGTAATTTTAAAAATGTTAATTACGTGTCATTCTTTGTTTTATTCAACAAAATACATCGTAGAATTACATCAAGCAGCGACACCATTTTTATATAATCGAAATTGCGACAACAGTTTTCAATTGTTTTTGAGACCAATGCAATTTTAATGACCTCGGTGGCCTAAGGGCGGGTTCCCGTTATATCATGATGGCAGATAGTCGTGCAGTTCAAAGTGTCGTGGCTTGTATATGTAAATGAAGTTGTTCACACATAGAGCAGTACGATTAACTGTCGTACACGACTTTTTTGACGTTCCGACGGCAGACTGTCGTGACAATGGGAAGAGCTAGAACGACAGTCGTCTGACGATAAATAAAACGTCACGATAAAAATATGACGATAGATAATGACGCAGCATTAAACGATTCTGTCGCTGACGTGAACCGGTGAATTGTCGTCACATCTAGTGGGAACCGCGTAACTGGTTCTTAATTCATGGAAATAAATAAAAGCCGCAAGGTGCCAGGTTGGGAACAGTCCCGACCTGGCACCTTGTGATCCCGCGTACAGACGCGGGATGGCTCATAAGACTCGTTGGCACGTTGTTCACCTTCAAAATTCCTTTCTCTGTCTGGCCGTGTGAGAACTGGCATTATCGTGGCGCAAGATGATACGGCATGTACGGTTATTTTTCGGAGTTTGTCAATAGCTTCCGGCAAACAAATGGTCGTGGACCAATCACTATTCACGGTACAACGATTCTCCAAAGCAACAGTAGTCACGTGTCCAGTTTTATTAAAAAAGGAAGCAATCATCCGCTTAGAGGCACTTTGCACGGGCGCCACTTTGGTTGGTTTCGTGCTCGTCTCGAAAAACCCCTTACGCTTGATTGCTGCTTTGTTTTGGGATCGTAACTATAAAACCATGTTTCGTCACCTGTTACTATGTCCCACACCAAATTTGACGCCCCTTCGTTGAATCTGGTAAGCATGGCATTGCACCAGGTGATCCGATCCGTTTTTTGTGCCTCTGTCAAATTGTGTGGGGTCCACCGAGAGCACAGCTTCCGTAAAATCGTACAAAATCATACTACTAAAATTTTCCCGAGTTAAATCTATGGTGATGTAGACAACCAATTTCAAAAATGACGCCACGATGTAAAAACAAGTGACAGTCAGATGAAACAAACTGTATTCTACAGCCAGAGTTCGATTTTGAAATGTTGTAATTACTTTTTAAATAATGTTTATGTAAGTAGCCAGTTCCGGAAACTTATAGTGCGCCCTATGTATACATTTTTATAATCTTTTCCGGGAAGTGGATAATTCGTTTTTCATTGATTTTGAAAACTTTTTAAAAAGAGTTAATACACTATTGTATTAACAATCCGATATTGTCATATCTTTGCGTAAATCGAACAGTAGAATAGACTCGTGTCCAGATACAGTGATTATAACAGTTAAAATGAGCTTAAACAACAAGCCGTCAAGTATTATTTTGGAATAATTACGTAAAATAATAAACACCTTTTTTATAATATCAAGTGACGAGACAAACAAGTCGTGCGCCACATCACAAAGATCTGAGAGGCACTGCCACTGCGTTCATCACCCTGAGACATAAGTTGACAAGTCTCATGTGCCGCTAATTTCACCAGCACCCTTACCCTTCAAAACAGTAATGCTATCATTACTGCTTAGCGACAGAAAACCTTTAAGTAGATTAATAAACAAAGCGAGAAATCAAATGAGAATATATTTGTACCTAGGGATTTATATTTGAATCCCGGTCTGTGATAAATAGTGATAATTCCCCAGAGAGAGGCATTATTGGGATATAGATAGTTAATATATTATCTCATATTTAGTTTTATTAGTATTTAGGTAGCTCGAGTTAGAAATATTGGTAAATTAGTTTGATAAAGTTAGGTTTTTCATGAAATTAAAAAGTAGGTATTTGATGTCATAATAATATGAGGCTGTTTCAAAAATGGTTAGCCACAGAGTAAATATGGTAAAAGAGTACTACCTTGCTTTAGCGTAGTAGCGTTTATGTTTCAAAATTATATTTTATTATGATTTTTTTAAATATTTTTCAAGTAGTTTACAATATTCATATATATATGTACTGATTTTATTATTTATTATATGTACATATGTATATGTAATTATTTATTGATTTTCTATTTATCGACTGATACACGTGTCTTGACTAAATAAAGACTTTTATTTATTACTTATTTATACAATTTATTGGTGACAAACTGTGCCCCAATTCTACAAATTTTAAATCATCTTAGTTGAGTGTCAACGGTAGGATTTTGTACGTTAGCTACTGACTTGTCAGTGGCTAACCATTGAGCTACAATTCAACTGCCATTGCAATTTGACGTGGCAAGTCGATGGCACGTTGATGTAGTCTACTAATTATTTGACATAAAGAAAAAATATTTCATTTGAAGACTAAATTGCTACTTGAAAGAGATGAAGACTAAGAGAAGCGTAGAACTTACATGATAGTTTTAGTAAGGCAACATCGATCGTTAGTGATTGAATGAAAGAACGCCAAACTGCCATTCCATAAAGGGCTGAACTGCCATTGCAACTACATTTTTCCAGAATAACAAAGCACTTGTGTTATGGAAATAGGAAACAACGCGACGGTACCACAAACACTCAGACCCGAGACATTATAGAAAAGTTAGTTTCTACACTGACCCGGCCGGGGATCGAACCCGGGACGTCAGAGATGGTGACGTCGTGAAAACCGGTGTGCAAGCCACTCGACCACGGATCACTCATCAATTGCAATATAATCTGAGTGGAGTCAAGAAAATTAGTAAAAGGAGGATAGCGACATCGCGTGTATTTTGTGACCCAGTGTTTTTGACTACGTGCATTAAGGAGACATATCAATACTTGTGATCGATTATCAAAGCATCAAAAAAGCTAAATGAGTACAGCCTATAGAAGCTGGGGTTATAAAGTTGATATAGGTTATGTTTGCAACATTGTCCTGTATTTCGCTGCAGATGTTTGTTCGTAGTAGCAGAAAACGACTACTTTTCAGTTTGTTCCCAAAAATAATAAAGAACTTCCACAATATTCCCAAATATGCCAAACTCTGCCACATTTAATATAACTTATCAAGTTCTGTGACAATGAAAATGAATAAAAATTTAAACGGGCCAAATGGCAGAAACATGCCACAAATGGTCACACTGTTCTCAATATGAATGTGACATGAGATTCACTCTGGGCTTTTTGGAGGGAAAAGTGTCGTTTTTATTTTGACTTTCAATTATTTTGTGAAATCTAGTTTAAAGTGGAATAGGATAGTGCTATTGTGCCTTAATCGAAGATTAAAACGCGAAATTATACGAATCTCGAACTAAAATACCCGTATCGGCCCGTTCTAAGGAATCCCGAGTCAATCCAAGCACGGCGCCTCAAATTGCCTATCCTCTTTGTGGCGGCCATATTTACAGAAACATAATTAAACGAAGACATGACTCAAAGGACTTGTATCCAAGCCAAAATTATTAATAATAAATAATAATATGATTATCAATATCTTAGACTATGGAAACTAATTTCCATCCTCTAAGTCAATATCACATTGATATGTGACATTTACATTGGCAAGAGGCTTCTTGTCAAAACGTTCCTATGCATCAGTATCAGTTCATATTTTTGTCACATTGTGTTTTATTTTTTTTATGTCATTACTGTTTAATTGATTACTTCGTTAGGTATTTTATAGCTTTAATGTTTTATGGTGTACTATAAAATAACCAATACTTCAGGCAGGTAAGTAAACATTCAATTATGCTTAAAATGAAACGTACGTACAAGAACGTTACTCAATCTATGGTGGAATTGAATTAATTGCATTGTGTTCTTGCGTCTGTTCTAAAATACAATGTTTTTTATTCCCGACTTCGAAAAATAGAGAAAAATATATTGATAACTAGGCATAAACTAAAACGCAAAATTATACTAGCAAAGTACATGAACGGCTCTTCGTCGTTATTGGAGTAGCTTTCGCTATCCTTCTTTAGGGCCCTGATGTAGCACTTAGCAGTCTCTGAATTAAGAGGGAGCAGAGGAAAAATTCCTAATCTTCGATTTGATTTTAGAGAAGTATATCCACTTTTAAGTTAAAAATAAAATATTGTATGAGTAACTACGCTATATATTCAAGCATAGACATTAATCAGAAACATAAAACAATAAAGTTTCCTCGATAGATAAAAATCACGAAATGACCTCTAATTTTCACATTTTTTCGATTTATCCTCGAAATGCTACAGGTTATTAGGACAAAAATTAAATAATTAATTATATTTATGCATGATTGACAACTGTCACTACGGATTTTTTTTAATCCCTTTAGAGTTATTATATTTAGAGTTATTCCGCTTAAACGAATTTGGTACTTTTAATGCGCAAAATTCAACATCTCCTGTCGCATGTCACGCGAACTTCAGGCATATCTTTGTCTCACAAATTTGGGCGGAGCCAACGTCAAAACTTTTTTGGCATGCTCCCTCTTAATCAATCTCTTGCTACTTAACTATATTGTTGCTAATTACACGTGTCAGTAAGTCAGTAACTTTAAGTGTGGTTACACGCGGCGAGTTTTAGCAGTCGCATGCTTGTATCGCATTTACATCGCTGCTCAAAATCGTGCGAGTGTGTAAAGGTAGACGATTAGCGACTGCGTCGCGTTTGCATCGCTGCTAAAAGTGGCCATGTGTAACCGCTCTAATACTGTCCTTTACTTTATAATGGTCGACACACAAAACTGCGATGCGACGTTGTCTCGATCGATCGCACGAAATCGCATCGCAGCAATTCGCGTCGCATTTTGTGTTTTTAAGATATAAGTTTAAAGAGATTAACATTGTTACATTAACATCACAGTACACTTATGAAAATGTTATTTATGTTAAGAAAAATATTTTTTTAATGAAAAATAGTGACAGACATAACATTAATACGAGGAATAAAAATAAACTAGCTGTTCATGTCTTAAAATCTTAAAATAAAGTCTCAAATTCATTTAAGGGGCAATATATACGCTTCTATAATAAGATACCGATTGATATTCAAAATTTGCCATTTACGAAGTTTAAAACTATAGTGAAACAAAAACTTTATACTAAAGATTATTACACAGCTTAAAAAAAAATGTTATGAAAAATGAATTCAAATGTATATTTACAAAGAACAACTCCTAGAGTTTCTTGCTCATTCTTCTCGGGGGAATCTGCCTTACAAATGAGCTGACAAGTTTAATCAGTATGACGATTTCAAGTGTAATTTGCTTACCTATTATTTGATTTTAAATAGGACATACGTCCAACAATCTTGCCTCATGTGGATTGAGGACCTCACTGAATCTGGGAAGAATTTTGAAACTTCATATTTTTTTTATTTCACAGCCACATAAATTACCAGATCTCAAACATGAGAATTCACTGTACTATGCAGTGGATTTGCAGTTTTGGCCACCCTAGGCCCCAGGCCATGTAGTCAGTACCAGAAACCGTTCAGTAGTTTTTGAGTTTATCGCGATCAGACAGACAGACAGACAGACGTAGTCGTGTAGTGATTATATATTACATTATAGATATCGTCGCCTTACTTTCTCAAATTCGTATCTTAAAGCACAAAATTACTGCAATGCACAAAATGGATTGTATATACAAATTTTACATGTTAGTTTCACATCACATTCACACACTGGCTTTTACCTATTCTTGATGTAACGCATTCAAATTAACCCCTTGATAAGAAATTTAAAATAAATAGAAAGTTTTATCACCTCCTGACCAATCACTCTCTATAAGATACGAGTTTAAGTACTTTCTTAATCATCGGTATGTATCATATCTATATTTTATACATAAAATGTAAGAAAGTGATTTAGGAAGATTATTGTTATACGTTGCGGTGCAGTGCGGCCCGCCATAATGTGCATGAGCCTTTAAAATATTTACGTGCTTTGTGTTATTTTTTGTTATCATCAGTGAATTTTTTGTCACGATTGGCCGTCTCTAAAATCTGGCCGCCCTAGACCCGGGCCTACTAAGTTAGGGCAAATCCGCCACTGGTACTATAAGTATTAGAGCAAAGGAATTCAGATCATAAACAATTTACAAATCATTTCCTTTAACGAATCGGTCTTGCCGGGAATTAAACCCGGGACGTCCACCCAGATCCCACGGTTCAAACTTGCGAGGCTGAGGTAGTAAATCACTAAGCGTAACAACTATAAGCTGCTATCGATTCTAAAAGTTTCAACTGTTGCTTGCTAGAAATCGAATTAAAATTTCCTGCATGGTGGGCAAGTTCTTTTATTATTCCGTTAATAAAATTCAATTTAATTGTGATGTAAGTAATGTTAAATTTATTAATGGGTACATAGCTATATAAAAAAAAATGTATTTTATTTTTTTTATTATTATTTTTATTTTATATTTATTTATTTATTACTAGTCGAGGTGCACGGTTTTCAAATAAAAGCATTTTATTTGAAGATTTTTTAACACGATGCATATAACACTCTCATAGACGCATAAGACACAGTACAGTTAATCTATCATTGATTGTAATGAACATTATGATTGTTTACAGCCGTGATATTCATTTATTTTTAACCGACTTCAAAAAAGGACATTACGCGATAACTCGTTAATTTGTGAACTGATTTTAATGATTCTTTTTTGTTGGAAACAGGGTACCTCAGTATTGGCCTCATTAAAATTTGAAGAAAGTATTCTAACTCTAAGGGTGGCTAGGGGATGAATCCGGTTTAGCGCACTTTCCGATAACCGATTTCAATAAAACTTTTGAGGTTGGCTTTTTTTTATAAAAAAAGTTGTTTTTGAAATTAATCTACTAGTGAGTTATATATAATTAATGATACAAAAATTGACCACAAGGAAATATTCCTTTGATCTATCAGGATTAGAACCTGCGTCTATGCCAAACCAGGGCGACCGTTCTACCAACTGAGCCAGGGACTAAAATCAGCAGATCTTACGAATTTTTCTACACCTTTGTTAACGTTAAGTTAGTTAATCTATCAATTTTTTTTCTTGTTGGTAATCAGCATAAATTTCCTTTGAAGATACTACAAAGGTTTTTCGTCATTACAAATAGCAGACATACTAACTTATGCACGAGTGTCTTTTAGGTTCAGGGGCCTAGGTAGAAGAATAAGAAGATTTAAGAGGCTTAGGATGTTACCTACGCAACGTGTCAACACTAGGGAATTGATTAGATTCCACGTTACAGGATGACGTTAAAATAATTTGCACGGCGTTACAGGCTCAAAACTTTTTTAAGGTAACGTGTGGACACACGTTTATCCACAAAAGTACAAGATACGAAGCAAAAATATGAACGAGAATAATACTAACTCGCCTGTGTCACTAGTTACTACCCTGAGATTTATTATTATATTTTTCATGATACCAACAGACGGGACGAACATGACGTGCGGCTGTATTCCGGTTTTGAAGGGTGCTGGAGAAATTACAGGCACATGGCACTTGTCAACTTATGTCTTAGCGTACGGGCGTAGTGAAAGTGCCCCTTAAATTTTTGCGATTTAAAACTGAGTGGTACTGTAACCGTTATAGCCAGGCGTGTAGCTTACCATCAGGCGCACGACTTGTCTGTCACTTGATTTTATAAAAAACTCGGCACGCCTGTCCATAGCAGTTGCAGTGCCACTCAGAGCTTAAAGTCCCAAAGATTTGAGGGGCACTACCGCTGTGCCCGTCACTGAGACATAAGTTGACAAGTCCCATGTGCCTGTAATTTCACCTACAATTTTGAAGGGAAAGGGTATTCCTTTCCCTTCAAAACCGCAACACAGTAATGCTCACATTACCGCTTGGCGGCAGAAACAGGTAAGGTGGCAGTACTTCCCTGGATGAACTCTTTCACAAGGAGATACTGCTACTAAATTATAGCAACAGCCGTCGGTATCTATATATTTAATTATAAAATATAAATTTAATAAGTACAAAATGTTACTACTTCTTATGTGATGATATATCGCTTCTAGTGATCTATAAGCGATATATAATTTGCTACACAAAATTGTCACAAAACTGTAAACTCATTGTAGAGGCACTTGTTCACTTTGATCGTAAAAATGTTGGCTTTCCAAACTTGGAGACTCTACAACGAGGTGTCTGCGTTAGAAATTACGGATTAAGCAACCATTAGAGGTATAATATAATGATTTTTCTTATTTATTTTGGTATTTCAATGTGTTTAAAGGCGAAGGAAAAGATAAAAAATAATTTGAACCGAATTTTAACTACACGTTTTTATCACCTTTAAAAAGTTTGTGTTTTCGTGTACAATTTAATTTTATATTCAACAATGTGAATAAAATTACCAATAATAAGAAATTAGGTTCAATAAAATATTAACAAACTCAAACAAACGGTTACTAAAGCAATATTTTATATTTAAAATATATTAAATTAAATTATTAGTTTGTTAGACGTACGGAGAATAGCTTTTTTAAATGATTTATCGAAATATATTAGTAAATATAGTAGTAACAAATATAACGGACATTGCTAGTAATATATTAGGCACATCACTATCAAGACGGATAAGAGTTAAGCGGAGGTGTACTGAACTAGAGCTGTACTTACCGTGTGGTTCCCACCTGTTGCACGTCGAGAATGATAGTCCGGCGGGTGGTTCCAGCTTTATATAGCACGGCGCGCCCGCGCCCTGGAGATGCTCAAACTGAAATCTAATTGCGCTACGATTTCAGAATTTCTTTATTTTTTTACTACACGTCGTTCAGTACCGAAACAAATGCGCAAATTGAAAATTGTTTTAGCTATACTGGACACGACAGAAATCACAGACCGCGTTAGTAAAAAATTATGTGTTGTCTGTTGTCTGTGTGACTATTTCTTTGTGTTAATTATAAACAATACGCATATGGGAAATGTATTTTATTACAGACGAGTTAATTTGTATTCTTGGTATAATAAAGAAACATGTGATCATACGTCAACATATGATTTAATATATGAAACTCATTAAAATATTTTTTTATTAACTGCCTGTAATTTCACCCTTACCCTTCCTTAAACCGGAACACAATAATGCTCAAATTACTTCGACAGACGAACACTTTCACAAGGACCTGTGCTGCTTTTTAAAAAAATACTAATAATTGCATAAAACAAATTATGAGTAAGTGAAATTTTAATAGAAATTAACGTTAACAAATTATTTCGCCCGAGAATATTTAAACCTCGCTCGTGAAAAGTTGTCATTTTACACATGTGTCCTTATTACACCAAGGGTGCGAATTGTGTTTAACATGTGAATTATACGTTACGTTTCCTATAATACAGTACACGTCTTTCATATTGCCCTTAATGCGTGAATGTCGTAACTGAGTAAGGGTTTCGCGCGTTTAAAAAACATTCTAGTATTCATCAATGTACATTGAACGTAATAACGGTGAATAGAACTTGCCTTTTTTAAATTTTGGTTATGAAATTATGCTAGCTGTGCAGAACACCTCGGCGCCAAACATAGAACCCAATTAAATGACTACGTCCTATGTTTTGCCCCGAGGGAGAGTTGGGAGTTTCATATCTTTCATACCTTAGTGAAACCTGCATGCTTGGGTCTTCTTATATTACTACGTCTTCTAAGAATATTACTTCGGTTGTTTTCTTCACGTTTTCCTTACTAATAAGAACAACACTTTCTTTCCATTGAAAATGACTAAAAGATAAATGCAACAAACGGGTAACGTTTTTCTATCTTAAATTATTGTTAGGCTACAATTGTTTGTATTGTGGTGTGATAAGTCTCGAGTTCGAACCCCAGTAGGACCGATTTGGGAAATCAACTTTTCTAAATTGGTTCTAGATTTTATATTCCGGGGCATTTCTTCCAGTGCCTCTTCTGTCCTGAAGGCTGGCTGTCAGCTTCTTATAGTCGTCTCTATTAGCAACCGGAACGGCTGTTCGACGGAGGAAATGCCAGTCCACTCCCGGATGTTTCGCAGCTACGATTTCTTCCTTCGCCCAGCGCTTCTCTTTCCCTGCACTTTGACCACCATTATCAACTGTAGCAGCGTGTATCTATAGTTCCTGATCACGTGAACGAGATATTCTATCTTGCGTCTTTCGATGGCTTCATTTTCCGGGACATATGTACGCCGGGGCACCGCAGAGTACATTCCGTTACTTTGGTACTCATAATACAGAAAATGTAGTCGTCTAAGGTAGTGTAGCCGTCTGGCACTCTGGCACATAATGGCGTCCCAATTTGCAGCAGATTCGCACGCCGATTGTATTGGGTGTTATAATGTAGGGGAGACCGGGGCAGAACGGGATAGTTAAGAGAAAAACCTTCATAATTTGAAAATCAACCATTATAATGTAAATCTTTGACATAAAAAGGAACATATATAGATTCATCTTTAATAATTATAGTTTTGAGAGATCTGAATTACAATATTTATTTGGCAAATAGGAACAAAAGTAATCATGTCAGATTTCCCGTTTTGCCCCATTGTTGGGGCAAAATGGGATACGCAACGGGGCAAAACGAGTAAACATTTTAATCAGGTAAGCAACGTTCACAAGTATGTGCCTCTTCGTCGTCATCGTCAACTCCAGCACAGGAATTATGGGCCCAACCCTTGCACACGCTACAGATCACCCAACCTTCCGTTGACTCTGAATATAAATACCCACAATATATGCAAGCGCAGTCTTTATTTTCGTCATCTTGGGATGATTCGGTATCGGTATCGCTTGCTATTTTGTTTAGCTTAGTTTTGTTCTTTTTACGCTTCTTGACTTCGGGTTTTTTCTTATTAGATTTATTTTTTTCAGTCTTCTTCCTGTCAGATTTGTTTTTGTCAGTCTTAATTTCCCTACTACGACTTTTTTTAATATTTATATCGTTAATGAGATCATTTTTGTATGGAGACTCTGTTAGTATTGCAGTTTTTCCACGTTTTCTAGTTATCCTCTTCTGAGTTCTTATTTCCTTTGGTATAGCCATGATATTTTCAGGGGTCACTATAAACGAAGACGTCGTTGCTACCATAACTTGTCTCTCAGGAGTTTTTTCTTTCGAAGTAGAAAGTCGAGGGTGTTTTATGGTAGGGCCAAGAGAATCTATATTATTCTGTGTTAATAGGATGCTGTCAGAAGCAGTTTTATTTGAAATCGACGTGCCATTATTACTATCACAATTAATATTGTTAGAGGGCAAGACAGGATCGGAATGAAGCTCCTCGTGTTGACTGGATACACGCTCATTCAAATTTTCATTTTGTGACGATAATGTGACATCTGGAAAAGTCCTGACTTGATAAGCCATTTCATGTTCAGGTGAATTATCGTTATAAGTGACCGTGGCTGAACTTTGTTGTGCTGCCTCAACAGCTGATGTCGACGGCCCTGGTTGGTTCTGATTGACCCTGGTTGGTGGCTGATTTGTCAATTCAGAAATATTTGCCATATTTGGGTCCCCAGTTGTAAGGTTTTCCGTGTTTGTTGTTTCGGCAGCTATGAAGTCTGCATCTGTAAATACGTTTTTATCCAGTGGCCATATTCCACATTTTTTGAATCCATTTATGGCGGTCGGCATAGTTGCCGCTTGTAAATAAGCTTGTCCGAATAGCTTCGCTACTTGGTATGCAGTAACCACGCGACCAGGGTGCTCTTTCAACCATTTTTTTACTTCTGCACTGTAGTATATACTCAGCGGCCTCATAAAGTTCAACTGCCTCTGTGGCCTAACGGTTACCATGCCGGACTGCCACGCAGAGGTCCCAGGTTCGATTCCCGGGCCGGTAGAAATAGTTGTATGGCCTACAATTATTTCTCTCGTGAGTTTGGATGTAATTTGTGGTTGTCTATGTGTGTGTCCATGGCACCCGCGACACAGGGTTTCCCTAGTGCGGGGCTATGTTGAGTGTGTGCGTTATTATTATTATTATTATTAAAGGCAACATCTAAAGGCTGCAATTTATGAGCGCAGTGTGGAGGTGTACACAATAAAATCACATGATGCTCCCGTGCGTAATCTATCAGGTCAATGTTTTTTGTGTGCGACGCGTGACCATCCAACAGCAACAAAACGGACTTTGCTTCAGTGGGTTTTGAGTACACCACGAATTTCTTAAACCAGTCGAGGAATATTTTTGATGTGATCCACCCGTTGTCACTGCAAGTCCCCCAAAACCCAGGTGGCGCGTCATCAAGCAATTCGTTTTTCATGCGTTTTCGGGCGTATATCAACATTGGCGGCACATAAGTCCCTGCAGCGTTGAAGCAGATTTCGGCAGTTACTAATTGGCCTCTTTCTGCTGATGAAAGGCAGCCAACTTGTTTTTGGCCCTTGAGCGACAATATTCTTGAATGACTTTTTGGGACAGTACTGACTCCTGTCTCATCCACGTTAAATATTCTGTCTGGAGTAAGTTTGTGTTGGTCAATCACTTTTTCCAGCAAAGAGAAAAAATCATTTACTGTCACTTTATTGAAAGCCATCGCCCTTGCAGCGGAAGTTGGTTCTGGCCGCCTGTAAGTAAGATCGGAATGTCTTTTTAAGAATCCACTCAGCCAATCTTCACCAGCCATTCCAGTTTCCTCGCTAAATGGATGATCAATTCTATTTTTTTCAGCTAACTGGTAAGCTAATACACGAAGTTCTTTTCCAGTTATGCCAAAAAGACGAGCTTCCATTGACTTCACATATTCTGCTAACTCGTTCTCCTGCTCTTTGGTGAAAACGGTTCTGTATCGTCCTAGCTTCTTCTTACCATAGTCATTATCTGAATCAGTATCAAGGTTTTCTGCGTTTCGAGCCTTTCGAACGCGACGCTCTAATGTTGACTTTGGAACATCATATGCAGCTGATGCTCGAAGGAATCCCATCCTATCGGAAAGAACAGCACTTACTGCTCTTCTCATATCTTCTTCCTCCCATTGTACGCGATTTGACTTCCTTTTATAATTGCGTACCATATTACCTGAAAACAACAACAAAAAACGCATTTAATATGTACAATAAACATTTTAAATGTCGGGGCAAAACGGGATACTGTCCCATTATGCCCCGATCGATTTGCCCTAAGTCACGAGTTTCCGAGAAACCATAACCAATTCTAACCTATAATTTTGCAGTAACAAAAATTGCATCAAAATCAATGTTTTATACGTAGTAACAAGCTGAAGGCAGAAATACTTCAAAAACATATGTACTTACCTTTGTGTACATCGATAAAATAGCGAAAATGTCATAAGAAATCCAGTAAAAAAATATTTTCACTCGCAACGAAAAAAACAAGTAGCCGTGAGCTCGTTCCGCGCTGACGCATGTGACACGACTGAAGTTCGCCCGAATGGCGCTAAAACTTGTGCGTTTTCGTTGACAATTTACGATCAGTAGTTCATGTTCCGTTTTGCCCCGAACCTCGTTTTGCCCCGGTCTCCCCTACTGGTCTTTATCCGTTCAACTTACCAATCTTGCCAATACGAACCTGAATGCCATAGTATAACCATTTATATGTGGCCCCTTCAAACGAGGCGTGAACCGGCATGGTGAATCTTGTAGGCATGCATGGTGGAGGTGGCTAGGTCAGTGATAGTATCAACACTTCACTAGGTTCCTTCACGTTTGGATTCCACTTTCCATTTCACATCCGGTGGAGTGGAGTTATCTGCCTGTCAGATATAAAAAAAATAACGATTATGGCATAGGGCTTACACCCTCGTTGTAGATTTAACGCGTTAAGTGGACTATGATAAATCAAAGTCGTAATACGGTAGGCTACACCGAGATATATTTATAAACTTACTGTAAAAATTATCGAGAACTGTATGTAGGTTACTTCATATGTGTAATGTCCATATTATCAAAAGACGAGATAACATTTATTTAGCTTATCTTGTTTCTGAATGAAAATCCTGTCAAAAGGGAAATTTTTCCAAAAGGATAAGATTTTCTATTACACTTTTTCTTTTCTGTGCATGTTACGCGAACACGCGTGTGTGAACCGACTTCGGTGGTTCTTGTATTGTTGGAAAGGGTTTACCTCAATAACGATCCCATTCAAATTTGAAGAAAATATTCCACTTCCAAGAGTGGTAATTTTAGGAGATGAAACCTGTTTTTTGGTTTCTGACTTTCCATTAACCGATTTCAATAAAACTTGACAAATAGATGTAATTCCACAATCTTTTGTCGCGTTTTTTTTTATATCAAAATCTTATAATTATTATCTTATAGTAACATTGCGTAGTGAGTGTGTTCGCACTCTTGGTGTCAACCACATCTACAAATCGTTACAACTTTGGAGGAGAGATATTTAAAGATTCTATGAACGAAGTTAGTCGTGTGCCTGATGATAAGCTTATCCATAACAGTTGTATGCCACGAAGAGCTAAAGCTCCCTGAGACATAAGTTGACAAGTTCCATGTGCCTGTAATTTCACCAGCACCCTCACCCTTCCAAACCGGAACGCAGTAATGCTCACATTACTGCTTGACTGCAGATATAGGAAAGGTGGCAGTGTTTCCTTGGACGACCTCTTCCACAAGGAGATCTGCTGCTACTTAAAGTACAATACATAATTTGTTTCATGTAATTCGTATATATATATATATAACCACGTGTGGCTTTATTATAATGTTGTAATATTAATACTGGGTAGGAGTGTTGTTCGTCATGATAATTTTTGTGATGAAATAAAGAGAGTGTTTCCGATAAAAAAAAGAAGGAAAAATGTTTGAATCCACTGTCCTGTGTAGTAGCGAAATCACGTCCGATACTCCGCAGTGTTTAAAGATAATTCATTTACCCCGCGCACCCCGCATAGCGCCCCCGCACCTATTACACTAATATTCCCATATAACCACACTGACCAATGTTAAAAGCACTCTATTAGCTTAAAATGCATTTCAATAATGGGAAATAATAATTTGGTTAGGTCAACAGTGACAAAAACATTTAACATGAAACAGAGTCTGACTTAAATGTTTTGAAATCCTTTCTTTGTTTCAGTTTTCAAAGGTCAAGCTTGTATTTAGAAATAAACGTCAGATTTGACGCTTAGGGAGCAGGTTGCCAACCTCAGCCTTCGGCTTCGGGCTTCTAATACTCTCGTTAATAATTTCTCATTCACATTCATTAAAGCACAATGTACAATATTTTACCATACTTGCTCGTAAACAGTACTATAACATGCAGGCTGGCTATAATGTGCTGAATTACGCTCACGAGTTTTTCTTTTTTTTTTTAATTATTAACGCTAGCCTAAAGTTTAGAAGTTCTTCTAAACGTTAAGATTAAGCAAAAAGTTCTAAAGCTCGAAAAATCTGAACTATTTCTAATAAGCTTGAAGTACAGAAAAAAACATTTGCTACATTTATTTTATAAATTCAAATTCTGCAGCATTCATTATATGTATATGAAAGAATAGCTGCCCGTCTGTTTATGTATAAAAAACGTCTGTTTATTTATAAATAAATTATTATTATATTTATTTCCTCGCAAATGTGATGAGAAACGTTGTCCTATATAGCACGGCCGGAAAAAAATTCCAAACCGCGAGTCATTGAAGCCCTCACTCAGCCTTCGGCTTTAGGCTTCTAATAGGCTCTCGTTAGTAATTTCTTATTTAAAGCCCTTAATACATAATGTACTGTTAATGCTGTTTAATGTTGAGTTATAATAATTATTACGTGCCAGAAAATCCACACACCAATTGCATAGTCTCAAACTAGGGAATTCTATGTACTAATTAATCCCCTAATCTATAATAAACAAATCGATTACAGATTTGAATTTAGTTTGATACTAATGAAGAAAGTCGAATCTTCTTTAGATTATTTCTGCTGCACAGGAAATAATCTGAGTAAGGGTTCCGGTGAAATTACAGGCGTATGGAACTTTTATTTTTTATTCATTTCCAAACATAATCTATTATTACAAGTTATTCACCCAATGCAATAAACCAGCAAAATTACTACACGTAACAGAAGATATAAAGCGCTATCTTTGTGAATTTACTCAGAGAACAATGGAATAGACCGAACCTATTCGATGTTTCGTTCAGGGTGCGCAATGTGCGCGTTAGCGGACATTCCATCGTGAGATTGGTCCTTCCACGCGGCACCGCTAGTAGCGATGGACGGCGACGTCGCCACACGTACCTATCAAGAACACATAAACCTAGTACCCCTAGTAGCATCGGATTGCATTGCATACCTCTGAGAACCTTCAACACGTACACTGCTAACGCTAAGTTCCTGCGCACGTGTAGCTCTTTGTATCCCCCCATATCCAAAATGAACAGATTAGGATACATCAGGGGGTAGAAGGGTTAAACCCCAGGAATTTGTTTTGAATACGCTCCAGCATAAGACATACGGTGCTTGATGTGACTACCGCATTACACTGGAGGAAGCTTCCTACAAGGCCATTATACAATGCAATAATAGCACTAATACTCGTAAATCCGTGAACCGTACGAAGAATCAACCCCAAATTTCTGTAAGCTTTTTTAAGTATGGTTTCAATATGCTCGCAAAACGTTGTCGACTTAGGTCTCAGAGTGACGGGCACAGTGCAGCGCCTTTAAAGCTCTGAGTGCACAGCAGCTTTTATGGACAGGCGTTCCGCCGCTTGGTATCAAAAAAAGCTTGCATTGGAACATATATTTTGTTAACAGTTTATCTGAAAATTATGGTGCGGTTAAGTTGAATCGATATTGTAGGTATACTATGGCCGACGATATTGAAACAATAACATTACGTAGAAATGTGATGAGCAGTCTCTTGCACAGGGCTACGCAGTGACCTGTACCTTTATTACGAGTTTAGTGCATGACGTCGTTATTAGAAATGAATGGACACAAAGAAAAATTCCGTCGACAGGACTGTCAAACCGAAGGAATATGTCTTTGCGTTTGTTCTTTGTAATAGTAATATAACAATGTAGTGGAGTAATTTCGCATAAAATAAATTAATTATCATGATAGAAAAAAATCATGATATTCAATAAAATCAAAGGCACATATAAAGTTATGCGAATGAAAGCGACGAAAAAGGGTCATGGCACACACTGTACACTGCATGCAACGTCAAATGTTATTTACCTACTACTACGACATGCAGCAAGGCGCTGCTATCTGCAATCGCGCAAATGTGTGCGTGAAGTGGCAGGGTTACCCGTCACTTTCTGATATGTGGTCAGAGCGGCAACATAGCGAAAATTCTAACGCTAATCTGTTATGTCATTCTATTAATAGAATCTTAATAATTACACATATCATATATCAATACAATATTATATTTTTCATTAATTCACTAACTAGACACATCCTGAAGGTTTATTTAAAAAAAGAAAATTTAAAAACACCTATAATGTTATATTTTGGACAGGTATTTTAAATAAAGTAAGCAAGGTATTTGAAATTACGTGTCCATCTTTATCATTACTTAGTTAAAAATTATATTCATTTCGTACTTATCGGCAATACAAATTGAAAATTCGGGAACCCTTGTCTACTATATTATATCTCATTATAAATAGTAGCGTACAGTGATGTTATATTATTATATTAATGTACAAGTTTCTTAATGAATAAATGAAAAGTATATTCAAATATGCAAGCCGTCTTACCGCGAAAACGGCTTGCCGACAGCCTTGTTGTCGTTCAGGCAATGTGACCGTCTCAATGTGCGGAGCGTGGTGCGGTATCTAAAGCTAGGGAGAGACGGAGAGTGTCCATTCTCGTTACTTTTTTGTTCTCTGGTCATGGTCTCTGTTTACCCCAGCGAAAGACAAGGGTCATGGTATGTATGTATTTTCGAATGGAAACAAGCTATTACTTGTATTAGAATCAGTTTGATATTCAACATATTAATTTTCTCTAACTTTGTATGAAGTATGAAATTGTCAAGTAACATTCAA